AAATCTCTGGCAGGACACCACTAAGACTGATCTAAGCCCAAACTTTATTTTCGTTATCAAATAGCATTCATATTTTATTTTCTTTCCCTCCATTTTAAGAAAATCAAACAAGAAATTCCCACATCCATCGTCACCGCTTGCTTCTGCAGTCATACACACTGGCAGACTCTTTACTGAAAAGCCAAGTGATCAAAATTAAGACATCAATCTGCCACTACCACCTCTGAGAACCAGGGGAGGAGCAGACAAGCTGCCAGTAAGGTATGTTTCATCCCACCCACGATGGATCCTTCAAGTAAACACAGTGAAGAAGGATCTGAAGCCTGCTGGAGATTTACTGCTCTGAGTACTTACACTATGCCCACAAAACCAGATATGGCACAGATGTTAGTATTATTCTGGTTGCATCCTTAAGATCAGAGCCATCTCAAATTTAAAGGACAGGTTATTTTAAAGACTTCATATCACCTCAAAATACATTTTCTGTCACACATACCATTCTGACAGCTCCGTCCCAATATCAAAACTTCCACTTCTACCCACATTCCTTTCACTCTTCCTTCACTGTAATGTTTTCTTCTCCCTCCATATCCTATTTCAGCAACAATAGCAAACTACACAAATATTCTTAACGTCCCTGTATTTCCACCCCCTCTTCTCTGACCCCAACAATATTTACTGAACCAGCAGCTCAGTCTGAAATACAACACATTTGTGAGTACAAACTAAGAAGATGATCATGTGTGCCTCCTTGACACCACTTCATGACTTCTGGGTAGTCCACTAAATGTCCATGAGGATGATGAACCACAGAAAAGGACCACACTGCTCAACAGTAACACAGTAAGCAAGAAAATAGCCCTAAACAGTGGATCCAGGTTCTGGGCTATGTACAGTATATGCATGACTTACATAAACTTTTTTGTGATTGTGACCCAGTGATCAAGACCTCAGTGAGTCAAAGCTGGTAAAAATGTATTAGTGAAAGCAGAGGCTGCTTCTTTTAACAGTCAAGTGAGGAAGATACATTTGCATACCATAACAAGCAGGTTTAAGAATAAATAAAAAAATTTGAATGACAGAAGATTCTCAAGCCATAACATGAGGTATAAGGATAGCAAAAGTCAACTGCTCACAAGGACATGGGAAGTTAAATATACATTGGAACAGGCCACAAGAGGGCTTCGTAAGTGGAGATAGATTTTTTGTACTTGATGTAGTGGAAAATAGGGATCCCAAGAGCATCACTAAAGTCAGAAAGCTGACAGACAAGCACAGACCTGTTCCTGAATTTTCCTCAGTGGAAGAGCAGAAGCAAAAACAAAAAAAAAAACACAAACAAAAAACAACCTACAGCATGGCAAGTACACTTCTGCACCTTCACATCATTAATCTTCATCACTACTGCTGGCACTTTCTTCTTTTCTACTTACTGTCTTTTTCCCGATGACCACCTTGCTGCAATCTGTGATAAAACCTTATGCTGCTCATATCTAACCAAGACATCTATATTGGCACAGGACTTTAAATGCAAGCCTTCCATTAGAGGACAGGCGTAATTCTTCAAAAATGCTGTGCTGCAAACAGTGCAACAGTTGAAGAACGAGATGCAGCACACCTTCCTTTGAAGGAAAAACTGCCAGACTTGCTCACTTCTGTAATTAAGAATGTTGCTTCCAATTCTGGTTAGAAAGTGCAGCTCTGTGGCTTTCTTTGATCTTCTCTGATGACAATGAAGACCTAGTAGGCTCTCTAAAGCCCTTTTCATTAAATTTGTTTTATTCTTCAAAGAATGTTTTCCACTCTCTCACATCTCTTTACATGAGAAGGTGTTTATGTCAAGCTGCAAGACACAATTAGAAAGCAAGTCAAGGTGCAAATGTCAGAACATGAAGTGGTTCTTTGCAGATGCTAACACATGCAGGCACTCACTTGAAAACCGCCCAGAAATGGCAAAGCTTGGAGACTTTAAGTCTCCAGCCCACACCCATAATCCTGAGCTTCAGAGCAACTTTCAGATCTCATTACTGTACACAAGGGCTAAAGACACTCAGAACAATTAATCCCAGAAGAAAACTTGCTTTGTATTGCAGTGACTTCGGTTATCATCTCAAAGGTAACGAGGTTGAAGACAGATTATTAAACTTCAAGACTTTTTACTTAAGTGTAAAATAAATTTAGATTTGAATCTTAGAAATATTGCTAATTTCATGACCAGAAATTGTATGCACATACAGCCAGCAACTATGACTTGCTGTACCAGAACCCAGTCTCACAATCTTCTTACAATAAACCAAAAGCATTTTGTTGGCATGGATGAAATGCTTCTCCAGGAAGAGAGGCTTAATTATTTAATGGAGCAAGCCAAAAGCCCTTGTATGAATAACTCTTCAGGACTTATTTCCTAACAAGAGTGTACTTACACCTCGGGCAGCTTGTAGACCTGGCAGCTGACATTTGTGGGGCAGATAAGATACCAGACCCTGCACCCAGGACAGCTTGTGGCTTTTAGCCAATGCTCTAATATAAAACGAGCAATGACTTTACATAGCCAGGGTCATGTAAAATTAGTGTAAATGCATACAGATTAGTTCCTAACCCTAAAGTCTAGAGATTCACACCCCTTGTTTTCTCCTCTCCCTGACCATTTGAACCGACACTCCTCTCTTCCTTCAGTGTTTCTCCTAAAACAAGAGGAAAGTGATTCCCCTACTACAACTAACAGGGGAGCTAGGGAGTGCTCTTAAAGTGATGGCAAATGCACATCTGCCACGTCTCAAGGACAAAACACTTACTGGCCATCCTTCTCCAATTCTTTCTGGCCAGAACAGCAGGCCTTTTCTTCACCTTCCTCTCCTAGGCCTGGGGAAAAAAAAAACTGTCACTCAGTTTCCTTGCAATATATATATATCAATATGGAACAAAATGACCAGCTGTAATACTACTGCTGTCAATAACTAGGATTTCTTCAGGTGACCATCCTAAGACTCATCCTGACCTGGGGAATCTCAGCCAGATGGCTCCTTTGATCTCTCTATTTCAGCTGCAAAACCCCACTGCTTCCATGATAGGTTTCTAAAATGTGGGCACATGACCTTCAGTTTTACATTTAACAAAGTAAGAACAGCTCAACAAAAACACCATGCCAGTAGATAATCCTTGTGCCACTGGCACTGTAATTTAGCAGTGATGACTCCACATTGTTTTAACGGGCATTGAATTTCTGTCAACATAAGACTAGGAATAATGCAGTCTAATACAGGTCTGAACCTAATTTTCATGAAACAAGTATGTCACATCTTTTCCACTACTATACATTGTGAAGGATTACATTGTTTTAGCTTGATGGTTTTTTCCTGCATCCTCAAGCAGATGATTTCTCAGTGTTGAATTTAAAGGTCCCATACATGCCAGCAATGGAGAGGGAAGTCAATAATTCTATAATAATAAGAAATACTGGTAATAGGTGGATGGTTGGACTGGATGATCTTGGAAGTCTTTTCCAACTTCAGTGATTTTATGTTATTAATAACTTTTTTTTTTCATAATCCCTGTAGAAGTATGGTACAAAGCCATCAGAAAGTTAGGCAAGAAGGCAAGCAGTAAAAATTAAGCGAAGTGAGAACCAGAGATTTCAGTCATTCTCAAACATGCATCTCTTGCTACAGCAGTCTTCTGCTATATATAAACAAGAAAGTCTCTCCTTGCTCTCCAAACATCCCTTTTAATCAGGGCCTAAGAAAGAAACTGCTTCAAAGCTAATCAGCAAATTAAACAGACATTGATATTTTCAAAGCAAATTCCAGCTGTCTGTAGTCAAAACATAAGCAACATAACCACAGTAAAAGGGCTGCCAGAGAAGGGAAACATTAGGAAATTTCAAAGTTGCATAAGTGTTTAACATTTACTTCACTGTACATGATATTCATACTTTATAACAGGAACTGATGCATGACAAAAAGAAACCCATAATTTGTACACTCAGCTGCATTGCCACATGCAGTCCCCCACATATCCCATACACTAGCATAAATACTCATGGTTGGAAGAACCAAAGGGAAGCAAATGTAAATAAGTCTCAAAGGACTGAGTTTTCACACTGATCAGCTCAGCACATGTTATAGTGCAAAATCTTAACCATTTGTCTCCTTGAAAGTATTCAAGTTTCTCAGTACTTACACCATACCATTTATATAATTCGTTTTTAATGAAGCAGATACAGAATTGAAATAGCTCTGAAATATTGATGCTGAGAAAAATTTAGACAGCTCACTTCTCTTTGGGTAGTTAGAATAGAGTCATCTCCTGAGGTAAATTAGTGAATTACTTCAGCAAATAGTAGTTTCTACTACTGCTTTGTATCTCATCAGTACAATGTGATGAAACAAGCACATTAGACCTATGAATAAAAAATATTTTTGAATCTACTTCACAATTTAGACTAAAAAACCACCTGGATTCAGATACCTCTCTTCTCATTCAGACTGTGTGATTTAAATTAACTTTTACAGATCTGAGCATGCATGAAGGGGAGGCCTTAAGATTATCATTCACCTTTAGCAGGAATGAGATTTTTTTGGCTCTGTATACACACTTCAATTCCTAAAACTAGCAGAAGAGAACAGTTGGAATAAGATCAGAGACATCTTCAAGTCTTCCCAATGATATCATATGCTAGAGTATCTCTTGTCAAATAAATAAAACACAAGAGCAAAAGTATCAAAATCTGCTAAGTGGGGATACCCAAGATGAGCTGTGTTTAAAAAAAAAAAAAAAAAAAAAAAACCTAAGATCTGTAGAAACTGCTGGTGGTGAAAGAGATGCATGAATGCACTTGAGAAGTCTGTTGTGTCTGAAAAGCCCAGAACAACAGAACAAAAGGAAAATGATAAAAGCATACACCTTTAAGGGGGCAACTAAATCCACACCTAAGCAGTATCAGGAGACAGAACCACAGAAAACAAAGCATGTCTTCTAGCTGGCAGTGCCTCTTCACTCACCTCATCAGCTTGTAACGCCTGCTGGAAGCAGATCTGCAGAACTTGTGAGGAAAAACAAAATACATTATTTGCATGTTTACTATTACAGCTCTCAGGAGAACTTACCCATAACTACTTTACCAACACAATTATCCATACAAGATCCCTCCTAGATGCAGCACAAGCACCAGCTCATATTTACTAACTGTACTTCTAGCACTGTAGATGTATTTTATTTATTTATTTTGCTTTCTCTTCCTTACACAGATAAACAATTTTAATTTGCATAGTCTTCAGGGCAGCCAGATGGAAAATTAGTATTGATTTCTTGTCTCAGCCAGCCAGCACTTCCATCTAGTAAGTTAAAAAGGCAGTCACCCCAACCCATGGTTAAGCACCGTTGTCTGTAGCTCACAACACCTCCACAACAAAGGAAAAAAGCAGTTTCAAAATTTCTGATCTCTACTTTACAGACTAAAGCCATGTTATTAAATTAACTGGTTCCCATCTTCTCCGTGAGCTTCACTTATGTCACTGTGCGTTTCTTAAGGCTCACAGAGCGCAATTCAAACATGGGACCATCATCTCATGCCTCAGCAATAACCTACTAGCAAAACAAAGGCACTGCTGGAGCTGGTCCGTATCAGGGACACGACTAACAGGACACAGGCCTTGGCAGAGGAAAGATACCTCTCTCTAATAGAGATATACATCCAACTTAAAAAGTGTTACCTGATAGTAGATGAAGTATTTTGTGTTAGAAGGTACTGTGAAAGAAGCTTGAAGACCTATTCTCTACATCCCTTGACTATCAGCAGAAACAGAAAGAGCCTTTGAAGAGTCTGCAGAGGCTATACTCAAGAGAACACTTAGGAATGCTTCCCAGGTTGTTTGGGGTTTTTGTTTTTCTAAACATTAACGAAACTCACTGTAGCTTTCAACTGAGAAAATGAAGATAGAAACAAGGATAAGAAGCTAGAACAAAGCTAAATATAGGTATAGTTACCTGATGCTTTAGATAACTGGTGAGTCATTCGATTACTTGCACTGGAATTAAAGCATTTGAAAATTAAAGGGTGCACAATCTATCTATGAATGGAAGACAGCATCATATGCACATCCAGCCCTCACCTTACAGACAATAATGCTTCTCAAGATTACCCATATTTTATGTTACAAGTTGAATTCATTTTGTTCTTTATACACAGTTCTTTAACACAGGGAGTACCATCAAAACATTAAGCTAAAGAGATGTGAAGCAATCATCATTCAGGACACTCCATAAACACTTTTTTCTGCTTCCTTAACAGTGAAATTTAAAAGCTGGCCAATGACTAAAACAGGTGAGTAAGAGCACTAACTTGGCAAGAATCATAAGCAATCATTCAAGAAAAATGTGATCTAACACTTGTAATTTTAAACTATCTCGCAATCTGTCTTACAAAATAAAGAAAAAATTTTATTTGGATGAGTCAATATATTCATTACAGGCTGCCTATCACAGCAAAAGCTCAAGTGAATGAGCACTGCAGAAGAACATGTAATAGAAGTGCTATCAAGATGTAACTGAAAGAGTCACAAAGTAAGCGTGGTGTATATACATTTATTCAAAACTATCTATTTTTACTAATATAGCACACAAAGAGGAAAAAGATAACTCAGAAAGCTCTGCAGAGGACAAAATCCTACCAGAATACTCCACATGTAACAAAACTTCATCTAGAACTGATGCAAATATATGGTAGCTATCAGAATAATTAAGTTTCAATGCCAAGCAATTCTGGGTAGAGATAACTTAAATCACACTGATGTGACTGAATAGTTTTTGGCTGAGGTCACATACCTAAGGTTTGCTGTCTGCTTAAACAGCTCACCACAGAGCACTTCTTATCACATAGTGTTTGTGTGACACATGAGGAAATACTTTCACTCCTTTGAAAGCTTACAGCACCTAATCTAATTTAGAAATTGTAGCTGCAGCAGGCAACAGCATTAAGAGCCTTTTTTTATTATTTTTAAACACCGTTAAACAGATCTATGTATAAATGTGCCTCTTCCATGGAAATACTTAATAAATCAGAAAATTATTTTCAAGATGTTGGCATATACAAATTAGGGAAGGCTGATTTAGGCATTAGATTGTGAATTTATTTAGCATAAGCATTTATGCTTTCTAAATCCATTAGGAACCCTGTTATTAAGGAGTTTATGAACTGCTGTGATAACAAGCTCTTTTAACTCAGGGACGATGGTGTAAAATAAAGTCAACTACCAATGAGTTCAATGAAAAAAAAATGTTCTATTCTTTGCATACCTCAGAATTCACACAAATCAGAGAGCCCAGCAAATATCTTGGGAAAATAATCAGAAAAAATAATCAGAGATTCTTTTCATTCAATGCTCTGCAAGCAACTCAAAAATTTCCACATAAACAAACTGAGATGAAGCAAATTATTTCAACAGTCCTGAGTGGAAATATTTCATTTTATCATACAACAGGTAATTCTGGATGACTTACCGTGATAAACACCATGACATCAGCACCCGTATGGAAGGATAAAGCCTATCTCAAAAAAGCTGCTTGGTGGAACAATACTACTTTTAGCAAACTGAGCAACTGCCTTAGAAGTTCAGGCTCGCATGACACACAAGGGGAATTTTCTTCCATCACGAGGAGCTCTTCAGGCTAGAGAGCAAAGAACCACAGCTCTCCGAATGGCTCAACAGTCCATGTTGCTACAGGTCAATACTAACCAGGGCTAAGCGTAAAATCCATGGCAGGCATTTAATGCTTCAGATTAGCAGTCACTTGATTAACATGACCTACTGGCCCCATTGTTACTTTATTATTTATTTTTATGTCATGTCCTTTGTGCAACTGAATCCTTGTTCACAATTTTAAGTTGGTCCTCCTTTCAAACATTTCACAGAGTTCAGAATTTGATTTTCTTTATGGCTCTTTCAGAGAAGTAATAAAATTATATACCTAGTAGTTTAATAGTGTATTTTTGCAATTAGTGTAGCTGACAAGTTCAGCACCTTTGAAAATGCATCCACTAAGGAAACAGCAGGAATTTCTTGTTTGTTCATTTATTAGGGAAAGTTGTAGAAAATCACTGCCTTTCCTGGAACAATAAATTTTACAACACCAAAGCTGAGGAGGGGGAATAACAATAAATAAGTAGTTATAGTTCATCCTGAGTCATTTCCCCATACTGACACTGACTAGCAGATGGGTGTCTATCCGACTACTGATTTTATCTTAGTTCTTATGAAGAGTTCAATTCATGAAAACCAATCAAGAAGAGGCAACCCACACAGCTCAGAGGACTAGTGAAGGGTAGGACATGACTTTTTTTTTTCTCTCTACTTTCTATCTCCTTCCCTAACTAGGTCAGGGCTCTAACATGACCAGGTAGAAAAGGCTAAAAGCACAAACTGATTCTCCTAGCACCACCAGACACCTTAAGGTTTGAAGGCCACGTACAGCGCAGGCAAAACACTGCTAGAAAATGAAGGCTTTTTCTTTTTGCACTCTGTGATCTTCACATCCCAACTTCTCTGAGAAAACAAGAAGCACTGAATACAGGAACTCCAACAAGAACGTAACCAAAGCCCAAAAATACCTTAAAGAAACGGGAAATAATGGACTGATGTTATGCAATATGAATGGACTTAAGCTGTACAGAGTTCCCTGATTATAACTTAACAGCACTTCTTGTAGTTTTAGAACTCTGATGATATAACAGCTACATAGCCATTCTATGTCTTCCTACTACTTGCTGATCTTTCTCAGTATGCCCCATCCCTGGAGGTGTTCAAGGCCAGGTTGGATGGGACCCTGGTCAGCCTGGTCTAGTATTAGATATGGAGGTTGGTGGCCCTGCCTGTGGCAGGGGGTTTGGATCCTTAGTGATCCTTGAGTTCCATGCCAATCCAAACCACTCTATGATTCTATGATCACAGTGAGCTTTACACTCTTATCATTGTAAGTCTCAGGCCATCTTAGAATTGATCCGTATCACCACAACATCTATGGGTCTGAAATCCTCCAAGGGTAAACAGGCAGACAATAAACAAACAAAGAGCTGAACAAGATCACTCTAGCTGTAACAGAAAGATTTATCTCATAACATTCCTCCCTTCTTTCTGCTTTTCGTGACCTTCTATGTCTTTGTATGATGGCCCACATCTGCCAGAAAGGTCAGCCAATTTTTCTCATTCTTTACCTATCAGGAACACCCAGTCGGGCTCTGATTCCTCAAGTTCCTCTCTCACATGCCCTCTATAGCCTTATTGCCCTTCCTTCTGCAATACTAACCACGCAGCAGAGCCTCAGCACAACTCAGTATATCCTCTCTCTTTCAAATGCTCAACTTCTACATTCTGCCCTTCTCTAGTTTTGTCTCCCCATCACTCCCTGCAATGCTTTCTCCTGAGCATGCTCTGGCATCCCTCCTTTCTTCCCATGACACTACTGACTCATGCTGCCCTCTACTCACTCCCCTTCTGCCCCTGCCTGTTTCTTCTCTACCAATGCTCCCCTTGCCCTGAGGCACCAACTGACTGACATGCCCCAGACTGCTACTCACTCAAATGCCTTTATTCCAAGGCAGCTTTCAAACATGGCTCAGCAACCTTAAACTCAGAACAAAGATAAAAAAGAATACATCAAAAACTGCAACGATGAACTACAACATACGCTTGCAAAAAATGCATTGGTCATGACTTGTTCATAGTCTTTCCTTAGCACTGATTTTTGTGGGTAATGGCAGTGCAGTATGCTTACCTCTATACTAGTAAAACATTTCATAGGATACCACATGGGAAATTATCACTTCAGATAGAAATGATGCCAACAAAAGTAGCAGAAAGAGCAACAGAAGTAATTCACAAACACAACCAAAAATATTGCTGGATAGGAGAGGTCGAGAAATGATTTTGAAAAGTCTTACATCAGAAGATAAGAGGCCTTGCTGTAAGTTAGGAGAGTGCACTGATGAGACTTTGTTGGCACCAAGCTCCAAGAAATCAAGAAGGTGGAGGAGAACTGAAGTGTCAC